TGAAGTAAATACAGACTTTTATCCAACCAATTTCATTATACTCTATTTTTTTAATAGTAATCGCTCTGTTAAAATAATAGAGTAAAATATTTTCAACTATATGCATGGGTTACAAATTGAAAATAATTAAACTTATTTCATTTAGTTTTAATTTCTAAAATCTTCGGTTGATTTTTTTGAATTTTTTGTACATTTTAATGGTTTTTACTGTTATTGCTATTTGTTAATTCTTCTGACTTTTATATTTATGATTTTAAAAAATTAGGTGAAAGTAAATTTAAATGCAATCTGAATAGGGGAGATAAATAGTACGGGATAAAAAAGTGGCATAATCGTACCCAGTTTCCCCTAATTGGTTTTATAAATTTGCGTAAATGACAATAAAATTTAAAATTATCACAATTCGTTAATTTTTATAGGGCAAGTGTACTGATACCATCATCCATTTAATGTTTTATTATTCATATTTAACATTAATATTGTTGTTTTTTTAGGGGAGTTATTTAGATTATTTCTGGATATTTTTGAACTTATTATTATTATTTTCAATATTAGTACACTATATTTCAAAACAGAAGACTGCTAAAAACAGCAATTGCTCTGCCAAAACAATTTTTAATTTCTATATGAATTTCCAGGGTTTTCAATAATATTCTAAAATATGTTTGCTTCATTGAATTTATTGAACTAAAGTTTTACTCATGTTTAAATAAATAGTTTTATTCAAACATATAATACACAAAAGAACATCTTTTGCACTGAATAATACTTTTATGTTACTTTGAAATGATTGCTACGTGTACTTGTTTAATAATTTGGTGGCATATGGCTATATTTATTAAAAAAATGTCATAAAAATATAATAGAATAAATAATAAAATAACGATTTTACTTTATTTTTATTTTATGTAATTGCATTATCGCTTAATGATGTTCACACTTTTACTTACTTGATTTCCTTAACTTTTATACTTGATTTCTTTAATATTTATTTAAATTGGTTTGATAATAAGCATACATCTTCTACATAAAATGTATAAGTTTGACAAGTCAGTTCACAGATAATTTTAGTACATTTTCCAATTATATTTTTTCATTCAATGAATATCAGACACCCTTCATCAATTTGTTTCTAACTGCAATAATTGATTATATGACATTAAAGTATGTAGGTAATATTCTACTTTATAACTTTTGAAAGTTAGCTTTTACTTGAGTTGTGCTCTTATAGTGTACATTTATTACTTTTCAGCTATAATCAAGCTATAAATAATCCATGGGTTAAAACCCACAAAACGGTAGATCATGAATTTTGTATGAAGTGTCCAACGCTTATAGATAATTAGTCTCATGTCAACAAACCCTATATTTGGAATAAAATATTTAAACGACATATCTATGGTAACTAGAGTCGACTATAATTACTTTCCATTGTTAATATTGAACTATTAATGTTATCTGATTGATTGAATTTGAATATAAAAAGTCTATCAATTATTTACTTCAATGGCACGCTTGAATAATGCGTGTTTAGTAATAATCTAACCAATAGCCAATACCTTGAATTAAAAATAATGAAAAATATATTGTAAAATATACACCAATAAAAAGAATAAATGCAGCTACAATGAAATAATGCAGGATAGGGCGGGGCACAAAAGTCCAATTTGATTCTAAATAATTATACAGTCTAAGCTAAATAAACTACATCAGAATACATAACACGTATCAAACAAATAACCATCGAACTATGTTCAGTAAAATTTCCAGTTAATTCCTAATTATATAAATGAGTATTTTTACTATTTTTCTAAAATTTATTATATGTCACTTGTTACCCCATGGGTGGAAAAATATGAAACAGCCAGGAGGGGGGGGGGGCAAATATATCGATTATTTTATTTTCAACTTCAAAGGGAATAGGGAGTAAGAGTTATATAATTCATTCAATGCAAATTATTAATTTCACGGGTACATCTTTTACAAAGATAACACTGTATATAACCTTGATTTTGTATTTTGTCAGACATTCATCAGCAGAGTTCGAATAACTATTTAATTAATTTATTTTTTGTCAAATTGTTTTTTTTTAACTTAATTTACTTATTTATTCACTATTATATAGTTGAATTACGCATGCTCAAAAATATTAAGGTCCCGTAAACTAAACAACAGTGCTCATAACTAAAAAAAACTAACAACAAAGGAAATTTTATTGTTATGGATTTTCAAATATTAAGAATCAAGGTGATGCCTGATTAAACATCTTTTGCCTTCCACCTTCAAAAATTATTGCGAAAAAATTCCTATCTTTCCTTGTTTTTGATATATTGGTGGCTGACCTTTTTACCCGCGGACTTTTAGGCCACGCTCTACTCTATGAAAAGCATTTAAAAAATGTATACCAACAAAGGGAAAATCTTTAAAATATAAACATCGAACCGTTCTTAATGAATTATAAAACTTTTTGGTTTTAAATAAAAAAATCTCGACTTTTATTGATGAACGTATGACTTGACTTTTATTCATGAACCATTTAACTTGACTTTTATTGATGAACCATTTAACTTATTTAATTTCATTTTAGCTGAATGATGACACACATTTAGTGTCAAAACTAGTACAAATAAATAATAATAAATTCATATGGCTCCATTTAAATAACACGTATTAAAAGCTGTTTTTACATTTTAAGAAATGCACTAACGATAAGTATATATTTATGAAAGTATCTGGATCATATTTTACAAATAGAATTTTGATGTCATTTATTTTTTATCATTAGTAACCCTCACGAAAGTTCATATATTCACAATTTTTAAAACATAATCATATAAACAATTTATATATATAATTTACTGAATCATTGGAAGTATTGTATTCATGGATATCTCTGGGAACAGATCACTAATGGGTTTTAAAGAAAAAAAGTCGGAAATACAAAAAATGACTTGAGTTGACACGTCATTTTATCTCTATTTAAAAAAAGTGTATACTACCATCTATTATGAATAGTGCTTTAAAAAATAGCCAGTGTCAACTGCATCTTGAAAAATGATCAAACTAATACTGTAGATATATTCTTTAAGATTGGTGATACAGATATCTAAAGGGATATTTTACATAATTTATACAAAAATAATATTGTATTTTATACTCACCAATTGAAATTTGAGGGACATTGACATTCATTGACATACCAGGAAGCTCAAAGAATTGCCTAAAACTACGTAAATGTTGATTGTATTCAAACGTATGTAATAGGCACCAACTATCCTAAGACTTGACTTCTCATCAGATTAGTATAAAATTTAAACAAATGTATCAAAGTTCTCAAAAATGCTATTTGCGATTTTGATAAAACTTGACACACATTGTTACTATACTTTGCCAAGATTATGATCAAAATTTGGAGTTTGGAACATTCAATAGTTTCTGAGATATGCGAGGTTGATGGGTGACTGGCTCCGAGATCAATACTAACATTTAAGCAGATCGTATCACAGTTCTCAAAAATGCGACTTGCAATTTTGATGAAACATGACACACATTGTTACTATACTTTACCAAGATTGTGACCAAAATTTAAAATTTGAACATTCAATAGTTTCTGGGATATGTGAGGTTGATGAGTGGCTGGCTCCGCGCTCAATACTAATATTTAATAAAGCATTTACCATTAAACTGTTTCATCGTGTAGACGAATATATTTTTTTAGCCATATCACTTGAACCAATAAGTATTCCTATACCATCTAAAACTTTTGGAACGCTATGAATGCATAGCATTCTCCACAAATGGGACGAAATCGGCTCATGTTTCAATAAAAAAAACTCTATGTATCATTCTGAATAAATTCTACAGCCATAACTAGTACCGTCTTATAAATATATAGGTTTAATTTAAAATAACATGCAATTATTACATCAATAATAATATGAAAAAAATAATTGAAAAAAAAAATAGATTGCTAAGTCGTTCACTGGAGAACAACGTTCTTGATCAAGAAATGATCTTTATCACAATTTGAAACAAGGAAGTCTTCTTAGAAATTGCTGCAACTAGTCTAACATTGTCATAATTTAGGGCTTTTTGGTCTAAATAACAACTAACAATCATTAAAGCTTTATAGTTCATTTTAAATTAAATACTAAATGCCGATTTCAGGAATGTATTGTTAAAGACGTCATCAAAACTGGTTTAATCAACCACTAAAGGAGTCATTTTAAGGATACTATAATCATCGTCACAGCTACTTCTCAATTTTGTATTACAAGATTATTTTAGTTTTAATTAACTAAAATAACTTCTTAGAGAAAAACTCTTTGCGCCCAGTTTTATTAGAAGTAAAAATTGACCACGTGTCCAAAATTCATAATGACTTTCTTGGAGCAACTATTAATATAGAGACAAATCACTATATATACGTATATTTTGTACTAATAATTTACAGAATATTTCTTGGAGATTTTGGTTTACGAAACTAATAAAAAGCTTTGAACTGGTAAAATGAAATATTTAGCATAGCTTTTGCAATATTATTTGTAATTACATCACTTTTCTAAAAATAGCTCAGCATTTGCATTTAATAGCACTAAGTATTTTTAATAACCTGTTTTATTAGTTAGGGCGAAATTAATCATTTGGCTTCAAAATGCTTTAATTTTCTTTTGCAATTCATCAAACTTTTATATCAACCCGAAATAATTCCTTCTGTTTGATTCAAATATAAAATTATCACGAGTTTTAGCATCTTTCTGAAAAGAATTATATGATGATAAAATCAAATGATGGAAGTAATATACCCACTTTATACTCGGAAGTACTTATTTTAATCTTAACTTTTACGGCTGTTTTAGTAGTTCCAAGTTTATGAAAGAAGTATATTTTTATTAGCAAATTATTTTGGTAAACCGCTTACACGTGCAGCAGTAAATGTGGTTAAAATATACAATGGAATATTAATTTGGTAGAAAATTAATACGTATATTTTTTTTCAGACCAACGCTGGACGATGTTGCTGGATGGGGAACGTCGTTTGAAAATTTGATGAAATGTGCAGGTTAGTAAAAATATTATAATTATTATAATTGGTAATGTATTTGTTTGAAATGTATATGCAAAACATTTTCGTAGTATTTTTAACTTCCCGTAGGGTAAGTTATTGTAATGGGCCGAAAATCGGAATTGAAAATTTTTACATTTCTCGACGTTTTGAAGGTTTCTGAACGTTTTGGCATACTTCAGAAAAAATGGATGTGTGTGTGTGTGTGTGTGTGTGTATGTATGTATGGATACAAATTTTCGCCCACGTTTTCGGGCGTACGGATCAACCGATTTGAATGGTTTAAAAAACATTCGATTCCTATTAATAAGGAGAAGAGCTGATTAGTTTTTGGCAAAGACAGGTCCAGCAGTTACGGAGATAAGGAGCAAAGAGTGCAGAAAATAGAAATCGAGTTTTTGAGAGAACGGAGCATCCGATTTGAATGATCTAAAAAACATTCAATTAGTAATGATTGGGAGAAGGGGTTATTAGTTTTTTGCAAAGGCAGGCCCAGCCATTTCGGAGATACAGAGCTAAATGTACAAAAAAATAGCAGTTTTTGAGAGAACTAAGCGTCCGATTCAATTGATTCAAAGAACTTTCTGCTTGTCTTAACAAAATAATTGATTTTGGAAAAAAAAAAAATTGTACCATTTTTTTTTTTTTTTTTTTTTTTTAATTTTTGTATATCGAAAATAATTCAGATTTTATTTTTAATTCTGACTATAGTTCTAATATACTTTAAACAAATAATTTCAACTCTGCAATTCAGTTTATATAATTCTTATAAATATTAGACAATGTTACAATATTTATAATGATCTATTTGAAAACATTCAATATTCCTCGAACATTTCGTTACGGTACGGGAAGTTCCAGCAATTTGCCTTAAGGCACGATGCCACCCACCCCACTAGTTTAAAATTTATTACGGATTTTCTAGTCTATATTGTCCAATATAATCAACTATCTTAATTGTAATAGTATTCAATCTCATACCGTATTTTTTTTTCATTATAAAATGAAATATTTAATTGAAAATTACACAATTATTGAAATCTTGTTTTATTGTTTTTGTAAAATATTGCATTTTCTTTCTCAATAATGCTTCTATTTAGTTTATAAATTCGGTGGTTTAAAATTCAGAAGATCCTCTCAAAGGATTCTCATAGGATCCTAAGTATACTAAATTTTTAGACTAATCTGAATAAATTGGGCGACTTGTAATCTCCAATTATATTTTTGCAATTTATGGGGTTATCTCATCTTTCATTTTAACTAATAAACTAATAAATAACTAATAAATAATAAATAAATTAACGTGTGAAGAAGTGGAGTTTGCTTCTAACTAGAATTGACCATTTTGTCAGAATTGTTAGCAATTAGTGCAAAAAACAAATAAATTAGTTGGACAAATATTTTATTATTTCTTTACTGCCATTAACAAAAACAGCGTTTTCGGGTCAAAAGTACTTATACATAAAAATGTTAATATTTTAATAATGCTTTTGAATTTTTGTTTTGTACCAATATATATAAAGTATTAATAAATAATTTTAATTGCCTATACATTTTCGAGGAATTTATTTTGTAAATTTGATTATTTTATAATACTATTCATTTTACATTTGTTCATTAAATGAGAAGTTAAAAGTAACATTAGTTAATATATTTATATTTTTGTCCATATGAATTGATATAAAAAACTAACTTGATTAGTTAGACTAAGTATGTTCTAAGTGGCTGCCTTTGCTTTCTTATGCTAGATCATAATTACAAAAGTTCATATAATATTTAATACATGAACAAAACGTTACCTGGGTTTTTAAATAATAAATCTCAAAATGTTCTTAGGGTTTAGTAAAGCCTGAAAATGTTTTTGGGGTTTCTAAATATAATGAGAAAGGGTTTATGTAATTTAGAAATAAGATCCTGTTTAAAATTAACTAGATAGATTTTTCAGTATCTGCACCTATCCCAGTGTGAAAGGTCAGATATTTTGTTAGAAGAACTTTGTTAGTTGAGTAAAATATTATTGTATTAGAAAAAGTACTGACAAAATGACATGGTGTCATATACGACATATAATAATCAGTCTCAATCGTTTTACTTATGTTTGGTTCATTGACTACTAGTAACATAGTCTTTCAAAGAAGCAGGAACTATAATAAAAAATTTGTTAAAGGAAAATGCAACATTATGTCCATATAGTATCAAATGAACTGTAAAAAATAATATAGTTATTTTGTCCATTTTACAAGTTTGCCAGTTTCCATACTAGTGCAACACTAAAAGTAAACAAAAATTGATAAATTATCAAAATTCCGTCAAGCACCCGATTAATGCAATAAAATTGATCATAAAAACTAGTACTGGTGCAAGTTCATCGATTTCTATTGATATAATTACAAATAACAATGAATAAGTCCCAAAATAAAAAAAACTCCTTCAAAACGAACTTTTGTAGGCGCAATGCACAGTTTGATTACTGCGACAAGACTTTGACAATGACGCTCAACATCTGACAGCATTGTTATTGTGGTTCTTCATACGACGATCCTCCAATTTTTTGATCTGATCGAAAATTCGAATTTTGTCAGGCCACAAACTACCAAAATTTTGGAAAAATTTTACATTTTTGGTTCTGACAGCATTATTATTGTGGTTCTTCATACGACGATCCTCCAATTTTTTGATCTGATCAAAAATTCGAATTTTGGCAGGACAAAAACGACCAAAATTTTGGGAAAAATTTAACGTTTTTTATTTGCCGGAGGATCATCGTATATATACGATGACCCTCCGTTTATAAAAATTCGAATTTTGGCAGGCCAAAAACGACCAAAATTTTGGGAAAAATTTAACGTTTTTTGTTCGCCCGAGGGTCATTGTATATATACGTTAAATTTTTCCCAAAATTTGGTCGTTTTTGGCCTGCCAAAATTCGAATTTTTGATCAGATCAGATTGGAGACAATATGTTTTAGTTTCACAAGATTTTTTTTTTGGTTTTATCAACTGTGAAGGCAGTGGAGGACCTTTTTTCTCGGCGTCGCCGGAGATCGCGTGTCATTTCAAAAATATTAGATATTTTATTTCAAAAATTTTACTGTGTATTCTCAAAACATGTATAAATATACTCTCAAAATATTCAATAGATGGATTCACTAGTTTTTTTATTTTTTATTTCTCAAAAATGGCCTTTTTTTAGGTTGTCACTCTAAGGTGTGCCTCTTAAAGTATACATAGAAACTACTACAATATTACAAATTGTACGCAAACCCTTCAACATTTTCATCCCAATATCATGGAATATCGTCTTGTTCAATTTCGTTCGAATGCCGTTTCCAAATAGTGCAAATCGCATCGCAATCGGATTTATTGTTATTGGCAGCCGGCCGCTGCAGCATAAATCATTTGGTGCATTCGAACCGTACGGCATAGTTTTCGACTTCGCTCGAAGCTTTATTGCAACTCGCCAAATGTACCGTGTAATAGTCTTGCCATCTCTCACAGTAAGAAAGCACAAGTTTGCACTGCGTCTTGCAACTCAGAAATAACACATAAACTACGGCATTGCTATTGTTTGAGATCTTGTAGCTGGTGCTGTTACGGGCTACTAGGTAATAAATTTCTGTATTGAAATCAGTGATGAATAACTCATGATTTGATGTAGCAGATGGCCGAATATCTAAAATATATTAATAATATCTCAACCCCGTTGCAACAAATTGAATCAGAATCATACTGATTCTTTTTTTATTTATTTATTATTCAATAGACAATCAGAATACATTGTTTCTATAAGCCTATGTGATGATGTTATATATGGCGTTTAGAGATCTCCTCCATTGAAGAGATCCTCTGCTAGAATTAATCTATAGCTGTCTGTATACAATTTAATATTGCAGGTCCTTTGGCCATTTCTTATTGAGTCTTCTTGTTTGAGCCATTTTGTTGATGATTCGTATTTCAGCGTTCGAATGAACGTTCAGATTTTGTTGTGGTAAGAACAGTTCCGGGTATTTATAATTTTATTTACAGTTTTAATGTCCAGATCCCAGTGAATGGTCTCATTAGTCACATACCAAGGCGCATCTACCATTGCCCTTAATATTTTGTTCTGAGTACGCTGGATCTAATCTTTGCGTTCTAAAATTTACATACGTATTAAAATCCGTAGAATAGTTAACGAGCCTTGGGCCTTAAGTCCAAGAATTTTTCAAAATTTTGTTTTAATTGAAATTTATCGACAAATTTTAGCAATATTAAATCAAAATTTGAATTCTTCGTGTTTACTTGTTAAATCTGAATAAAAATTAGAATAACATTTTAACAATTTATTTACTTTCTTTAATTTATTTGAAGTTTTTTTACACTTAGATTTAAAATTGTGAACACATTTGCAGTGTGAGAAAAACATTTCTTAACTTCCTGAAGGAGAAATTTATGTCAGCAGAAAATCCGACTTGCCAATTTTGTTTTCTCGACGTTTCAAAACATTCTTAATAGTTTAAGACCAACTTTGGAAGAAGTATGAATGTTTTTTTTTGTATAGTGAAAGGAATGCATTTTTTCATCTCAGACTGGGCCTTTCGTCTGACTCAATACCGTTTGGGTATAATACCGACTAAAACCTCCGCTTATCTTTTGAGACTTGTCTCCACGGAAACCGCCGTTTGATATTACTTTATCGGGAGGATCTATAATGCTTTGATTTTTTCTTTTAATCATAGTTTTCTCCTAATTAGCGTTATTTGCTCTTCTTCTTTCGAAGATGGCAAGAAAAGTATGTTTGTGTAAACATATATGTGTGTGTGAATTTGGGCCTATTTTTTACTTTTTCTCGGCGTTTTCTCAAAAGCGTCTAAACCAAATGCAAAAATTTGGAACCAATTCGATGAAACTCGACAAACCTGTGTTAGGTAGTTTTGCACGAGGAGCCAAGTCGTTTCTTTATAATTTAAAAATTTTAGTCTTAAACCTGGATTCAATTTTGATGGAGTCCATGGTCTTAATGAACATACTAAAATGTTGGTGGCCTATAACAAGTAGGTTAATTATAAAAAAGTATTTAGAGTTTTCAGAAAATGCTCCGTGTATGTATTAAGCGAGTGTTTGTTTTTAGTGATATATAATTCGAACAATTTGTTGATAATAACTAACATGTTTGGCAATTTTGCACATACTCAACAAGTTGCAATAGTTTCTCTCAAGATGATGCTCAACAACAACTCAATACTTAAAAATACACATATTAATTTTTTATTTATAAAATGGGGAAGTTTATGTAGCTTTTGTCAAGGAAAAGTGCAACTCACATCTAGTTTCTTATTTTATTCAAATATGTGGAAATGACCTCACATTACACTACATGGACTGCTAGTTCTCATATGTTTTCCGTTTTATATAGTGCTCAAACATAGAATGGTATGTGACGTCACATGTCTGAGCGAACATTGCCGATGACAATCGCGGAACTCTCCCGATTGATCAAATGTCATATGCCATATGTTTTATGTTAATAATATAATGGCAATTGTGATGGCTGATAATTTTGTAAGAAATGGTATTGTTTTTTGTAAGAAATGTTTTGTAAGAAATGGCAAAATGCTTTTCACGCTGCCTCTTAATATTAGTTTTAAGAAAAAATTAAGATTAGGAAAAATCGATTAATGTAATTAATTTTATTGGTTAATATTTTTTAGCTGGGCGCGTTCTTTTCCGCGAGTTTCTGCGTTTTGAGTACTCCGAAGAGAACGTGCTGTTTTGGGCAGCATGCGAGGAGCTCAAGCGCGAAGTAAGCCCGGAAGCGGTCGAAGAGCGGGCGAGAGCCATTTACGAGGAATACATCTCTGTGCTGTCACCGAAAGAGGTAAGATTATAATATTATTATTGATGCTTACATTCAATTTACCTATGGCCTTCTCCTGACTTCTAGCCATAATTGTTAAAAACAACAAAATGTAAAACTAAGCAATCGCATTGTCTTTTGTTTATGCGTTCAGTAAATAGTGAATATACCATATGAACACGGGGTATTCTGATATTGTCTAGGGAATATACCTCAAGTATATACGTCTGTATTTCTGATGAAATTGAATAAAGTTCCTGTTCCATATTTCCATTTTTTTTGAGCCAAGACTTTTAATTACTTGTACTATCTAACATTCGAATTATTCTTCGTTTTTGTTATTTCCGCCAAGTTATTTTTCCTTCGATGACGTCGAGCAGAAGGTACTATTTTCCCAATGCATAACTGATCCAGTTTTCTTTTAACAATCATATCCAGTAAAGTGTTGATCCCCACTTTTGGCAGTATTTTTTTTATTAGTTACCTAGACAATCAATTATAACTTCTTCAGCGTCACACCTTGAAGTAGTTTTTGTTCGCCTTCTGTGAATTTCATATCGTCTCGTTTATCGTACAGACCAATTCTCCAAATGTACGATTATATACCTATATGTCAAAATTAATGGGCCGATTCTGCCGTAAAATAGACCAATGTTATGGCAAGGCTATGTTACGTTCTATTTTTTATACAAAATTGTACTGAATACTGACAAAGCCGTGTGGTTGCTGTGCAGTCAAGCGTTTTGTCAAGTTGCTAAATAGAAAACCTAACCTAGAAAACGCACAAATGCCAAACAAACTGATGTTATGATAATTGGATCTTTCTAATAACGTTTAGTAACATACGAGTGAATTTGCAGTTTATGTGTAAAACGCTTGATAGTACAGCAAATACATGGCATTTTGACAGTATTCAGTATGATTTTGTATGAAATATAGAACGTAACATAACGTTGCCTTGGTATAAATTATGGACATATACAGTGGCCAATTTTTCGGTAACATAAGCAATGACATATCATTGTTATTTCAACGCTATCTTATTCTTCTTGGTGCTAAAACTGTAAAAATTCTATCTATTTGCTGTACGATTAGGCGTTTTACACATGAAACAAATCACACAGATGCAGTGATACTATTTTTCTTAGGTTTGTTCATATGTAAAATACGTCTGATCGCACAGCAAATAGATAGCATTTCGACAGTTTTTAGTCCCAAGAAATAAGGATAAGATAGCGTTGCTATTACAACGCTATGTTATCGTCTATGTTACCACAGAATTGGCTCCATAATTTTTAATATGTACTTGTGTTGGTTTGATAATTTAACTTTTTTTACCATTTTTTTCTTCAACCCTTTGCACCCTGATCCCTTTTGGATGTTATTTATCAGCAATTCGACGTCACCTTTGAATATCTAGGAAACTTGATATAAAAAAAGTTTTAGAACCAAGTAAAGAATTTAGATAAAATATGTTTTATATGAATTTTTGTCAATCAAAAATACAAAAAATTCTTAACTTCCCGAAGTAGATGAGCATGATAACAACTTGTATCGATGATGTCTTAATCTCAGTATACTTGGATTTCTTATTTGAAAATTTTAAATTTATACGTTTAGTCCGATTGGTGCTTAAACATCCAAATTTTACGCTTGAGTAGACCTTTTTGACATATGAATATACGCAGAATTTGCAAATACTTGTCTTATAATAAAGTACATCAATATTCCGAGTATCAAAATATTAGTTAGAAATGAAATGATTAGCATTGATTTCTATGGTATTAACATGTTAACCGAATGGGACATATAGAAGACACCTTAATACGTCCTGGAAAATTATGATGTCTTCTGGAATGGTTCGAGCATATATTTTTGATCACTTATGATAATATGTCATCTATACATATTTCTATATGAATTGAATAGAAGAATGGATTTTTTTCTATTGAGCGTTATAAACGTTATACCCACTAAAAATAATAATAGCTATGAAAATTATTTCTATTTTTACCAATTTATATCTTAGAATTTTTCAGCTCTATTAAAAGACTAAGAGCGATAATACACAATGATATATTTTTACAGAATATTAGAAATAGTTTGAACTTGGACTAATATTCTTCATTAATTATCATTATATTGAAAAATTAAAATCATGATGGGAATAATATCTTATCATTTGTTTAGTAGTCATGCTTCTGGTTATGTATAATATTGAATATAATTTATATATATATATATTTTTTTAAAGAATTATATCTTCATCAAATCATTAAATGATCTATTTATTGATTTACACATTCATTTAGAAAATAATGTAGAAAATTATTTTTTCTTTAAAATTTAGGATTATATTTTGCAGAATTGTATTTTGCTTACTAAATTTTGAATATTGATAATTTTGCTAATCATTTAGGAGATATCTTTGAGTTTTGTTTTTTTTTTTAGCAAAAATTATAAACTAACTAATAAATAACTTATAAATCTCTCTGTATTTGCTTTGTTTCTTTGACAAAAACTTTTTTCTTGAAAAATTATAAAAGATATAAGAATAATATAATATAGGGATACAATATAGCTTAGAAATTCAAAATTACATTAGATTATAATTCAAGTAATTCTATATAAATCAATAATAATTTATTAAATCTTAATAATAACTAATTAGCTTCTACCTAATGTAACCATTTTAAGTTTTAAACAATGCACAAAAAATTTGCTTACTGACTTAAAATCGTTTGCTTGAATATTGAAACGGGCTTCGTAATTTTTTGAGTTTTGGGACGATATTTAAAATCTTCAATCAAAAATTTATATGCCTATATAAAAAATACGATAACTGATTTACTTATATCAAGAGGCACCAAATGGCAACTTTTTGCAATAACAAAACGTTTGAAGTTGATTGATTCATATTATGAACTTATTCAAAACTATTCGTTTTTCTTAGTCTGATTTTTAATTATATTACATAATTAAAATCTAAAATTTTCATTTTTAACTTCCCATAGGGTAAGTTATAGTAATCGCAAAAAGTCGAAAATGAAAATTTTTGCATATCTTTACGTTTTAAAGGTTTCTGATCATTTTGGTTTAAAAAACATTCGATTCCTACTGATGGGGAGACGTGCCGAGTAGTTTTTGGATAGGCAGGTCTAGCGGTTTCGGATATACAGACGAAAATGTAAAAAAATGATATTTGGCGGTCTAAAATGATCATTAGATATATTCACATCAAATTATCAGATATTTTATAGATATTTTAATAATAAGAACACATTTTGTTACATTTTTTTGGGTTCCGTACCAAGTTTTATAATTTTTAAAGTTTACATATTCGGTTCAAATAAAAATCTCCAGAAACAAATCTTTTTTCAAAATTTTCAAAAATATACAAAGTTTAGCTTTATATTTTACTTCAAATATAAATTTTAAATTTACAATTTGGTTTAAAACTGTATATATTTCATATGCGTTATTCTACTCATAAGAAATATATCCTAAGATGTATTCATTCAGCACTTCTTAATGTAAACATATTCAAGTGTTTTGGGTGATAAGATATCATCACTCTACATTATATGAACGAATAAATATATAGTAATTATCTTTTTGAAAATATTGAAAACAACTGTTATTAATCATTGATTGATTTTTTTTGCTCGAATATTTAATTGTGGTACGGGAAGTTCCAGCAATTTTTTGACTTCAAACATTACCCATTGGCAGCACGTGCCACTGACTTGTGATCATGTAATATAAATATTTGTTTTCCAAAAACCTGTAATAATGTCGACTAAATGTTTTTCGTTATGACTAAATTATGCCACGAGTTACTTCCATAAATGTACAGTATATTTTATTTATGCATAGCTTCTGGTCAGGAACAAAAATCATGTTTCTTTATGTATTCCGTGCTATAAGCTTCTACAAGCATGTCGAATCGAAGTATTGTCATCGATTATGACAATTGTATAATTTGTGATCGTGTTAATTGTAATATTTATTAGGTTATTTCCAATAACATTGTGAATATTACTAGTTTCTTTCTACTAATCCAACTGGCAATTTCCATTCTGTGCAAACAATATTTTTATATATTTTTGTCAATCTTGTATGGCAATAGACCATAATGTCTGTGGCCTGCGATACAACTTGTATAAATAATTTTAGTCTTCAATATTGAAAAATGTTACTATGCAGGTTTTGGCTGGATCTGATGTGATTTGATTACATTAATCATCTGGGGTTAAATATAAATGCAAATTATTTGAAGAAATGCAGTGCATTGAGTTTGACAAAATTACGTTTTGTTATGCATTTCACAAAATGCATGACTTCAATTTCTGTGATAGTTATTAGTGTAATATCTTTTATACAAGGGAAATTAACTGCTGTTTCGCATATAGATAAAAATTCAATTATTTTTAATATTGTTGCAAATATGTCCAGCTATTGGAATGTTTATGGAAGAACAATAACTGTTTTCAACATGGACTTGCTTGACGATTTAAGTGATCTATCTTACTTAAGTGCTGTAGAAATTTTATCAATAAATAGTGAACAAATTTATGGAAATGTAACTGTATGTGACGAAGAACTTAATAATGATAACACAGTGATTTTGTTATTTTTGAAAGAATTTGAAGTTGAGGAAAAATTGCTTTCCTACTATAGATGGCCTCATTACAAACGCGCTACTTTAGTAGTTCTTTTTATATTGGATAAAACAGTGGAAAATGACAACTTTTTGCAAAACATCAAACAATTGTTTTCAGAATTTGGTTCTAGAGGAATAATAACAGTTGTGATTATTGTCTGGTCACAAATATATAATTTACCAAACTGGTTCACGTTTAATTATTACGAAAAAGTGCTATTCAATGACACTGGTAAATTCGATTTCCAAAAATTATATCAACGCAATACTGCAAATCTTCAAGGATTTCAAATCAAATCTTGTCTTTTACACCATGAGCCGTTTATCGAATTTAGTGAAAACAGTACTAAAATTACTGGACCCGATATGAGAGCTTTTCAAACTTTTATCAAATTTTTTAATATGAGTGAAAGTATCGTAAAAACTCAACCTGTAGACACTTCAACTTATATGGCATCTTTGACTTACGCCAAAAATAATGCTTGTGATGCAATTTTTACAAGATCAGCAAATTTTATATTACCTGGAATGGCTAAATTACAATATCCGATACGTCTAGAACATTATTCTATATTAGTACCAAAATCAGGTAAAGTTGTTGGATTAACTAATCTTTTAATGCCATTTCAAATTTACGTGTGGTACGCAGTTTTGATTAGTTTTATCGTTATATGTGCATTTTGGTTTATATTGACTCTCATTAAATTGCCATCAACCTCCGATTATGATTATATACCATATTTGGATCTTATCAAAATTCAAATAAATATGTCATCCAACATAGAACAACAACGTTTGCTACTGAGCAGTAAAATATTTGTGATATTTAGTATTTTTTATGCATGCTTCTTGATATATGCATACCAAAGCGTTTTATATGGATTTTTGGTGCAACCTTATATTGAAAAAAATATGGAGACCTTAGAAGATATAACAAAATCCGGTTTAAAAATATTTGTTAATAGAGGTCCTAAGGGACGGTCGACTTTTGTTGATAGTACATTATCACAAGTACACGTTGTGCCCGTAATAAATGCAAATAATTTTGGATCATTAATGCAGAAACATCGAAACTCCAAGGAATATGGATATGTATGTAGAGAAAGTTGGGCTTTATCATATATGCGAAAAAGTAAAAGGAATAGAGATTTGAATCTACACATGGTCAAAGAGTGGTTAAGTACTGGAGATTATACTTACAAAGTATCATGTCGTTTTACATTAGCTTTACGACTTCAACAATTGTTCAGACGTTTCGAAGAATATGGACTCATGTCTTTCTGGAGTAGAGAATATATTCTTCACGGAGCCGCTCAAAAAAAGTTGAAATCAGAAAATCCGACTATACTAGAAATTTATGATATTCTAGGACCGATTGCGTTTTGGAGCTTCGGTTGCATTATATCAATTATAGTATTTTGTTTTGAATATTTTTCTGAAACAAGTTTTTAATATATTAATACATATATGTGGTTAGTATTCAATAAAATGTACATACGTAGGTGCTATACTATTATAATTGTTAGACTTATATTGCTTTACTAAAATGTTCATTTTCACTTGAAAATCTAGATTAAAAACATATTTTCGATTGAAAATAGACTATTTTTCGGCATTGCGATGTGCAATGGCAATGGTAAACCTCTCACACTATTCTTACCTGAATCGAGCTGGAATTTGATTCCCAGGGCAGTACTACCCATTATTTTTATTATCACACTATAATTATTATTGCTATAATCATTACTCATTATAAATTTATTTCTACTCTACTTTATATTGCCTGGTGTAATTTCTATGTAACACTTCGAATTTTTTTTTCAGCTATTTTAATCTTTTATTGACAATTTTGTGAAAAATGTATTCTATATTATATGTATTATACAAATGTGAAATCAGAATCAGAATTGTTACAAAATCATAGATAAATAAGTAGAAACTGTTCTACATTTTAATTTTATATTACCAGTGATTCTACAAGTAATAAAAAAAATTGATAACGAACGATCAAGACTAGTACATTGCACAAGTGTAAAATAAGTTAAAAATTACTAGTACAAGTAGAATTACTATGTATTATTATGAAAATATGAAACTTACTCTGTATCCTGTTGAAAATATGGAATTGGAAAACTTATGTTACTTTGCTCGACGTTGAAACATATGTATTTTTAAAATGTTAGCAACAAATTAGTCGAAAATAATTTTCGGTGCTCTAATACTTTGAAACAATGAATTTTCAAATGTTTCAATATACAAATCACTTTTTCAAAATGCTCATCTTTTATTAATAAAATTTTTGAGTTATGAGACGAAATTGGTTATGTAAGTGCAAAACGTCTATGTAAATTGTTCAATTCATATTTGCATTAAAAATGCAATAAAAATTATTATGTTTGATATGGTTTATTTTTAGAGGATATTTCTAATTCATATAAGATTTATACTGTTATTTTGTAGATCTATAATACATTTTGAATTAAAATACTTTATTTGTGACTTTATATTTATATTATGGTAGGGCGGGACAGAAAGTCCAACTTTACTATGACTTGATTATTTTATTGTTAAAACCAAACCAATTATGTCACAACAGATAATGCATATGAAATAAACAACTATCAGACTATGTTCAGTAAAACCAATAACTAATTCATCATTGTAGAAATGGGTTTTTTATTATTATTCAACCAATGGAAAATATAAATTTTATGGCAATATATTTTACAGAGACTGTGTACAACCTTGTTCGGGTATTTTCTTACAAATATTCAGTAGCGGGAATAAATATTTATTTAATTCATTGCTTGTAACATTGTTTACACTTTTGCCAGGGTAAAAGTTTAGTGGGTCCTTTTTACCCAGTTTAGTGGGTTCTATTTATCTCCCGATAGCAATGTCGTTAGATTCAAAGTGATGGCTGGTTATGCATTTTTTCCCTCTACTTTCAAATATTATGGTTAACTATACTTGTTTTCGAGATATCGGTGGTGGGCCTTTTTACACTCAGACCTTTTAAGGCCCGTTTTATACTATGTCATAGGTATACAATTTAGGTTATGAAATCATCTTAATACTGTTTTAAGTTTTTACTAAAAAAATTGCTTAGTGAAACGTTTTCTAGACTTTAAAATATAGTTCATTTATTTCGCATTTTAGACTATTTATAATCACTTTTTGGTTTAGCAGAAAATAATGAAATGAGAAAGTCAGAGACTATAATGTATTTGGCTTTGGCGAATTTTTTTCAATAATAATAATCGACCGGTGAAGACCCAATCAGGTACATTTTCATGTTTTATGGCTTCGTCAAATTATGCGAAAAATAACGCTTACTATATAATATTCACAAAATTATTTTTATTTGCGCCGGTCCTGAATTTGTGAACACATATATCGTGCTATTGTTGAATTTGACATATGTATATTTTTTGATATAATGAAAGCCATGTACTACGTTTTTTAAATATTAATGATGTAAGCCAAGCTAATAAATAAAAGTGATTTATATTTGAATATAGATATTTAAGATTATTGTACATAATATCTATATATATATATATATATATATATATATATATATATATATAGGGAAGCTAGGAGCTTGTGGTAACAGTTTTTTTTTAAATAATAATGGGCCGAAAATCGAAAATGAATATTTTAGCATATCTTCACGTTTTGAAGGTTTCTGAACATTTTGGCATACCTCAGAAAAAATGTGTGTGTGTGTGTTTTGTGTGTCCGCATTTTTTTGTTCACGTTTTCTGGCGCACGGCTCACCCGATTTGAATAATTCAAAAAACATTCGATTTCTATTGATAGGAAAATGTGCTGATTATTTTTCGGCAAAGGCAGGTCCAGCCATTTTGAAGATACAGAGCTAAATGTACAAAAAATGGCAGTTTTTGAGAGAACTGAGCGATTTGAATAATATAAAAAAAACTTTTAGCTTGTGTTAACAAAACAATTGCGTTTGGAAAAAAAAGTATTTCAATTTTTTTTTTGAATATCGAAAATAATTCAGATTTTAATTTTAATTGTGGCTAAAGTTCTAAAGCTCACTTACATACTTTAAATAAATACTTTTAACTTTGTGATTAAGTTTATATAATTTTTATAAACATTAGACAATAATATAAATACTGTAATATTTATATAAAACTAATTTATTTGAAAACATTTAATATTCCTCGAACATTTCGTTACGGTATGGGAAGTTCCACCAATTTGCTTTAATGCACTATGCCATACACTAGTTATATATTTATTCATATAATTATAATAGTTATTTTACAAAATTGTAACACATTATAAAAGATTGATAAATTTAAAACGCAAACCGAAAAGTTATATATCTAAAATTTTAAATCGGTAATAACGCAAACCGAAATTTCATGATAGATAAATTTCATATTACCTGCGTAGGCCTGCAGTATATGCAAAAATATTTTAATATTTTTTCAGATCCTATTGAAAAACGCCTGTTGCCAGTTACCCCCGTTATAGGTAGCCCCTATCTCCTCTATATGACATAATTTCACGAAAATTAAAACGTGCTAATATAGGCAAT